TTGTCCTCGTGATCCACCCGCCTCGGCCTCCCAAAGTGCTGGGATTACAGGCTTGAGCCACCGCGCCCGGCAATTTTGTATTTTTAGTAGAGACGGGGTTTCGCCACGTTGTCCAGGCTGGTCTGAAACTCCTGACCTCAGGTGATCCACCCGCCTCGGCCTCCCAAAGTGCTGGGATTACAGGCATGAGCCAACATGCCCGGCCTGGTACATATGTTTTTAAAAACAAAATTAGGATTGTATGTGTTGTTTGATAACTTGACTTTTTTCACTCAGTCATGTACACATGGAACAGGTTTTCAGATCAGTCTTTAAACATGTAGTCAGTTGCCAGTCAGCAGTTTTCCACTGTGAGGCTGCTCTGTGCTGAGTGACTTGTTGTCTTAAAAAGAAAGAGTACCCAGTGGACATCTTCCTACATACATCTTTGCACCTTTGCCTGATGATTTCACTTGAATGAATTCCTAGAAATGGCCTCGCCAGGTAGGAGTAGGAGAGGCTTCTGAGAGTTAGTGCCATTGTACCCTGAGTGGATGACCAGGGTCCACCCACTGGCAGAGGCACACAGCCCTGCAGGAACACGCTGTGACCGGCGGCTTTTCCAGCAACATTTTGGTCCCTGACCTCCTCCTTGGCCTTTTCAGCCCTCGTGCCTCCTGCTCCCACCACCCCTTGGTGCAGCCAGCCACCGAATGGCCCAGACCCCAGCCCCTTGCACCTCCATGCCAGGCTGGTGCTGCTGAGGCACACGGCAGAGCAGGTGAGTCTCTCCTGACCTTGGGGATCCTCATGTTCACGAGTCCTTCCAACTCAGGGCAGAGGCAGGAGGAGCACACGGTAGCCCTGGGGAGGGGTGACCCCAGCTCCTGGGAAGTAAAACTGCAGTTTGTTCGGTGAGCCAGTTGTCATTTTCATGTGCCAAGCTCAGGGCTGAGGGCTTTGTTTGTATTTTCTTATTTATTTATTTATATTTAGAAATGAGGTCCCAGTATATCGCCCAGGTTGGCCACAAACTCCTGGGCTCAAGTGATCCTACCCCCTTGGCCTGCGGAGTAGCTAGGATTACAGCCATGAGCCATTCTGCTTGTATATTTTAAGCTTTTACGCTCACACAGCCCTACAAGGAAGGGCTACAAGAAATGTTTACAGACAAGGGACCTGAGGCTTAGGGACACAAAGTCATGTGCTCATAAGTTCCACAGCAAACAGCCTTGCCAGGATTGACATTGTGGTCTGTATTGCTTCACACCTGGGCTCTTTCATGGCCCCTGCTGACTCTCAGAGCCAGGCAGAGTCAGGGAGGATGTCGGGAGGGGAGGATGTCGGGAGGGGCCTCAGTGATGGCAAGCTCAGCTAGTGTCCAGGGCTCCACCCCTCTTTCAGTTCAGGGAAGGTGACTGTCCATCCAAATCTGCCTTGCAGGACCACGACTTCTTGGAGAATGAACAGTTCTTCCTGGAGACCCTGAAGAAAGGGTCCTACAATTTGACATCTCATTCAGCCTGAGTGGGACCCCAGCCAATTCCCCAACAGAGGGCTCTGGCCCCAGAACTCTCTCCTGTTCCTCCTGCTGCCTCCATGGAGGCACTGCCTGGGGAGGATTCTGAGATGCCTGAGGCCTAATGACAGCTCTTCTGTGGACAAGGTTCAAGTTAATCCTTTCCATGTGTGCCAGCCTGGGGCTGTCTTACTACAGCTTTGGCTGCCCTCCCTAAAGTCATCTAGCTTGGATCTGAGGGTCTGAGCTGGGAGTGAGGATCCCAGCTCTCAGTGGGCTCTGTGGGCTCCCCCCTACTCCACAGGTAGACTGTCGTGGGCTCGTTTTGCCTGGGCCTCTTCTGAGGCAGGAGCTTTCTTGAGGGATGCCACAAACAGCGTTCCCTCCTCCCTGCTGGAGCAGCTCCCTCCCTGATGAGCTGGAGAAGGGCCCTCTGGCCTCCTGGCAGTACAGGGAGGGCACAGCCAGATTCTCCCTTTCGGTGTGAGATGTTCCTGGAACTCAGCCGGCCCGCCTCCTCCTGGCCTTGCACAGAGCCCCACCCTATTCCCAGCACTGCCCAAAGGACCAACCAGCCTGGGTGAACAGTGGCCTCCTCAGCTTCCTCCCCATCTGGGTGCTCCATCAGCAGCGGTGGAGGAACCTGTGGCAATGGTAGGGTGTGGAGAGGGACGAGGAGGGAAGGCTCCTCTGTGCTGCTCACCTACCCAAAGCCACAGCCCATCCAAATCGTGCAGTGGAGCTGACAAGGAATTGATCACAACTAATAGAGATTGTTCATTCCTCCTTTACTCCCTCTGCTTTGCTTGACTAAGCTTAAAAAAACTGCTTTTGCCATGGCTCATCGGAGTTTATACTTATTTCTTAGAAAATGCTTGCTGTGGGCTGGGCGTGGTGACTCACACCTGTAGTCCCAGCACTCTGGGAGGCTGAGGCAGGCAGATCGCAAGGTTAGGAGATTGAGACTATCCTGGCCAACATGGCGAAACCCCGTCTCTACTAAAAATATGAAAACTAGCTGGGCATGGTGCCACATGCCTGTAGTCCCAGCTACTCAGGAGGCTGAGGCAGGAGAATCACTTAAACCTGGGAGGCAGAGGTTGCAGTGAGCTGAGATCATGCCACTCTACTCCTGCCTGGTGACAGAGGAAGACTCTGTCTCAAAAAAAAAAAAAAAAGAAAGAAAGAAAATGTTTGCTGTGTTTCCTGTTATTTGCTGGACAAGAAGTCTCAAAGAGCAGGCAGATGTTCCCATTAAAAAACCAGCCTGTCTGGGCGTGGTGGTTCACGCCTGTAATCCCAGCACTTTGGGAGGCCGAGGTAGGCAGATCACCTGAGGCTGGGAGTTCAAGACCAGCCTGGCCAACATAGTGAAACTCCGTCTCTATCAAAAAAAAAAAAAATTAGCCGGGTGTGGTGGCGCATGCCTAAAATACCAGCTACTCGGGAGGCGGAGGCAGGAGAATCACTTGAACTCAGGAGGTGGAGGTTGCAGTGAGCTGAGATCGTGCCATTGCACTCCAACCTGGGCAACAAGAGCAAAACTCCATCTTAAAAAAAAAAAAAAACAGCCTAGTCGGGCACAGTGGCTCACACCTGTAATTCCAGCACTTTGGGAGGCTGAGGCAGGGGGATCACCTGAGGTCAGGAGTTCAAGACCAGCCTGACCAACATGGAGAAACCCCATCTCTACTAAAAATACAAAATTAGCCAGGCATGGTGGTGCATGCCTGTAATCCCAGCTACTTGGGAGGCTGAGGGAGGAGAATCGCTTGAACCTGGGAAGTAGAAGTTGCAGTGAGCCAAGATTGCGCCACTGCACTCCAGCCTGGGCAACAAGAGCAAAACTCCACCTCAAAAAAGTAAAAAAAAAAAAAATAGCTTGCCCAAAGTGACAGTGAGTAGCTAAGCCTGGATTTGAGTTCTGCTCTGGCTGATCCCCAAGCCCCAGGTTGTGAGCCACCTGACTCTCCTACCTCCCAGAGGAGCAGGCTACACACGGTGCTGGAGTGGGAGGAAGATGTTTTCAGGCGCTTGTGGAGCTGGTACTGACACAGGAGTGAAGCGTCATGTGCCCCGTTGGAAGCCTTGGTTAAGCCTCAAATTTGATTCTCCAGCAAAAGACTCAACCAGTTCTGAGGCAGACCTGTGCAAAGAGCATTGGGGGAGAGGGGTCCTAAGGATGGGCACGTCAGCCCAGGGGCAGTTGGCATCTAGGCAGCCACCTGCAGGACCTGCAGGTGATCAAGCACACATGTCGGTGAGGCTGGTGCTGGGAGACCCACAGGGGAGAGCACGGCCTTTAAGACAGTAGGGAGAAGGGGTTAGAATGAGGGAATGGGTTGAGAACGCTTTGTGTATCTTGTTAAAGACATGCAACTCGGCCGGGCGCAGTGGCTCACGCCTATAATCCCAGCACTTTGGGAGGCCGAGGCAGGTGGATCAAGAGGTCAAGAGATCAAGACCATCCTGGTCAACACGGTGAAACCCCGTCTCTACTAAAACTACAAAAAATTAGCTGGGCATGGTGGCGCGTGCCTGTAATCCCAGATACTCAGGAGGCTGAGGCAGGAGAATTGCCTGAACCCAGGAAGCGGAGGTTGCTGTGAGCCAAGATCGCGCCATTGCACTCCAGCCTGGGTAACAAGAGCAAAACCCTGCCTCAAAAAAAAAAAAAAATAAAGACACGCAACTCTTCAAGCCAAATTTTCAGGTCTTCGCTAGAAGGTTTTAAACAAGGTTAAACCATATTTGTATTTTAGAAAACCCATTGGCTGGTGCAGTGGCTCACGCCTGTAATCCTAACACTGGAAGGCCAAGGTGGGTGGATCACTTGAGGTCAGGAATTCAAAACCAGCCTGGCCAACATGGTGAAACCCCATCTCTGCTAAAAATACAAAAAAAATTAGCCAGGCATGGTGTTGCCTGCCTGTAATCCCAGCTACCTGGGTGGCTGAGGCAGGAGAATGGCTTGAACCCAAGAGGCAGAGGTTACAGTGAGCCGAGATTGCACCACTGCACTCCAGCCCGGGCAACAGAGCGAGACTCAGTCTCAAAACAAAAAACCCATATGTCTGCAGGGTGGGGACCAGAAGAGAGGGGACAAGAGTGGGGACAGAAGGCGTATGAGAAGGCAGCTGGCAATGGTGCAAGGGAGGGACTTTGGGCAGGTCTGTGCCGGGCATGGCAGGGAGGGCTCACAGAAAAGCACCCTCGGACCTGGTGCCAGGCATGGAGGGTCTGGATGATGTGTTGGGGGACCCCCAGGTTCCTGGCTTGGGTGAGCGGGTGGTGGCACAGACGAGTATACAGTCCTGGGGGGACAGCCAAGCAGAGGCATTCCACAGGCGCTCAGTTATAATGGCACTTTCCTCCGTGTAAGCGCCCAGCATTCCTGTCGCTGCCACCAGAGTGTGGCAGGCATCCCAATTATCCCCTTCAGCCTTCTCCCAGGCCACAGACCCTGTAGAGGACAGAGTCCAGAAGTGAGTGTTGTGTAGCTGCTGCTCTTTTTCCTTCAAAATTGGAAAGATCAGAGCCCAAGTGCTTCATTCAGTTCCTTTTAGAGAGAGAAATGGTGGTGGAATGTAATGGAAAAAATGCTGGTGCCAGCCGCAGTGGTAAACACCTGTAGCTGCTATCAGGAGGCTGAGGCAGGAGGATGGCCTGAGCCAAGATTTCAAGACCAGCCTGGGCAACATAGTGAGACCCTATATCATTAAAAAAAAAAAATTATAGAGCCACTGCTTCTAGCTTCAAGACATTCATCGTCATTTGCTTCAAGTTGGTACATACGGGAATCCATGTGAGGCCTCTCAGTTAATGTCCAAGCAGGCGCCACTCGGGATTCTAGGACAGCGAGAGGACAAGATGGAGCAATACACTGCCGCCTGCCGAGACCCCGTACGTCTTCATCTGGAGAGAGCTGGGGGCTGTGGGGTAGGGTAGGTGGATTTAGAGGCCGAAGAAAAGGATTCAGAAACCAAAGAACAAGGTGGCTGGGTGCGGTGGCTCACACCTGTAATAAATAAATAACACCTGTTATTTATTTATTTATATTATTTCCAGACGGAGTTTCACTCTTGTTGTCCAGGCTGGAGTGCAGTGGTGTCGTCTCGGCTCACTGCAGCCTCCTCCTCCCGGGTTCAAGTGATTCTCCTGCCTCAGCCTCCCAGGTAGCTGGGATTACAGGCGGCCGCCACCACGCCCGGCTAATTTTTGTATTTTTAGTAGAGATTGGGTTTCACCGTGTTGGCCGGGTTGGTCTCTTAACTCCTGACTTCAAGTGATCCACTCGCCTAGGCCTCCCAAAGTGCTGGCGTGAGCCACCGCTCCCGGCCCTCAATCTGGGTTTTAAAACCAAGCAGGCCTACTCCGGAATCCAAGCTCACATCCCCTCTCCCATCCACGCCGGCGTCCCTGGGGAACCCTGGACGCCGCGACCCGGGGCTGGGTGAGGACCCTGCCGGTCGACCCTGGTCTGTGCCGTCCCCTGATTGCCGGCCGTGGGCAGGAGACCGGCTACTCTCAGCTCCGCCCCCGCGGCCCACCGGGCACTTCCGGAACTGGGCGCCTGCAGGCCGCGGCCACCTTCATCTCCAGCCCAGACGACGGTGCAAGTGCCTCCGGGGCAGGCGTCTGACACCTGCTCAGCAGCGCGGTGCTCAGGGTTGGGCCTGGGGGCGGGGCCTGGCCAGGCGTGGGCGGGGCCTGCCGCGGTTCGCTCAGGCGCCGCGCTGGCCACCTCTGCTCGGGTCCTACTGGCGGCCGCGGTGACGCAGGCCGGAGGGAAGATGGTAGCGCCCTGGTGGCGAGCCTCGCTGTGCGGGTGTCGGAGATGGCGGACCTTCAGCACCTCAGGTGAGGGGTGTGGGGATGGGCAGCTTTTTTGGGGGACCCTGTCGACCGACCTCTGGGGTGCCGGCCTGACGTCCTCGTCCTCTCTCTGCTCACAGCCGTCCTGTGCCGCCGGACACCCCCGCTGGGGCCGATGCCCAACCAGGACATCGACGTGAGCAACCTGGACCGGCTGGAGAAGTACCGGAGCTTCGACCGCTACCGGCGCCAGGCAGAGAAGGAGGCGCAGGCCCCTCACTGGTGGCGGACCTACCGGGAGCATTTCGGGGAGAAGACAGGTGCGGGGCGACTGGAGCAGAGGCTGCGGCCACTGGCGCGGCAACTCGGGAGACCCTTCGGCTTTTTCCCCGGGCGCTGAGCGAGCCTGCCTGCGCCCCAGTGGATGCTGGGGGAGTGGAAGGGCCTGCCTGCAGCCCTGTGGGCACTGTCTGCAGCTTAATCACGCCAGTATTTTTCACACTTTCTGTGCCCTCATACTTGGAAAATTTGCTTCCCCTGCTGTTAGAGTTCTAGCTGCTAAAATACCTGCTCCTAAAATCTTGATCACCTGCCCTTCCAGATTGGGACACCCTTCTGTGCGCCTAAAATACTCTGTAGGTAGCTCTGGCCACACTGCATTCCGACTCTGTGCGCTGCCTCTCCCTAGATTGTAAGCGCCCTGTGGATAGGGATCCTGCTCTCCATTGGTTCCTTGCACCTGAACAGTGCAAGAATGTACGTGTGGAATACTTTGCTGAATGAAATTAAAGTCTTGGGTAGGGTGACTCAAAAAAGAACCCAACCTTTAAGGTGCTTACAATTTATGGAGTATATCCTTTTTTTTTTTAATTTGATTTTTCATTCATATGTCCAACGCCCACTCAGATTTTTTTTTATCCTTTTTTTTTTTAAGCATTTATAAAGGCAGTTTTGTGGTGGTTAAAGGCACAAGCATGGAATCTAAATAGCCCGATTTAAATCCCAGCTCACCCTCTTAAGGGTATCATC